GAGTTTGAAAAGAAACTGGAATAGTGATTCGAAAAACTATACTGAATTTCGATATTTGGTTACCTGATAGATCAAGATTCACGGATCAAACAACAACAATCACGGATAATTTCATTCAGCTGATCGAGAAATTCATTCGAGAAACGTCGTTTGCCGATGATGCTGAACGATTCAATGCAGTACGAGCGTGGATTTGGTAAATTGTGCTTTTGGACGTGAATAATTTGATTAGTGGAACACCGATAAAGACAACGTATGTGGTTGTGCTAAGCAATATTGCAGGTCGTCAATAGTGTCAGCATTCCCATTTGGTGCTATCTTCGGAAGTCTTATGGCAGCAACTCTGTCTGATAAGTACGGTCGTAAGACGACAATATTCTTCAATAACATACCTGCAGCGATCGCAGGTGTTCTAATGACATTTGCATATCCTTTCAAAATGTGGTACCTTCTACTGATTGGTCGGTTCATCATTGGGGTGAATGCAGGTTGGGTCCGATTTCAAGTTGTGGTGTGATCTGGTGATCAACGAACGAGATTCGTTGATTTGAACGGTGAATAGTATGAATGAATGATTATTTTAAGGTATCAGTTCGGGTGTAATAACAACGATTCTAACAGAAATATCACCAGACAATTTGCGAGGAATGTTAGGAAGTTGTAATCAACTTTTCTTAACAGCCGCTATTCTCTTTTCAAATGTGCTGTCGTTCGAGACAATATTCGGTACTGAAGCACGTTGGCAATATATATTCGGTGAGCTCATCGCTAAGCTTAGAGTAATACCCGGCAGAGAACAAATTCACTTCTAAATAATTCACTTTGAAGTAACGTCACTGATTCAGGTTTCACATTTTTCCCTATAATCACTCAACTGATTCTGCTACGATTCTGTCCTGAATCACCACGATATACACTGATGTTTGAGCATGACGAAGTACAAGCCGAGAAAGATCTTAGAGTGTTGAGGGAACGAGTGAATGTTCGTGATGAAATTGATGCGATGAAGAGAGAGGCGATCGAGAGGGAGGTACATTGAATTACTCTGGATTCGTTTCGAGATTAGAGCTGATCAAGCAAATATCTGATCAAGCAATCACTCTGAATGGTTCCAGAATGAACCACAAATAACGTTCCGGATGTTATTCTCTCGTGAACTGCGATGGGCCATATTGATAGCGACATTTTTGATGTTTAT